ATTTTATTTTTAAGTTTCCCAAAGAGATTGATATATTTGAAATATGTTTGCAGTAACTAAACAAATCTTATTTTATACTCTGAATACGCATTGAGAAGGCATGTTTCGGGTATATCTGTTTTGTTAAGTAAACTTATATATACAAATTCTTGATGAGCAATCACAGAGCAGAGGATTAAGTCTATTACACTGCACTGATCGATTAAAATCGATATGGCTTTTAGTATTCTAAGCCTAAGCAGTTCAGTTGCCAAATCATCGATATCGTTTGCAATCGATAAACAACTTTTATAACCGCTTTATAAGCCCAAGCAATCATTCGGTATATCAGTTCTACTATAGTGCCTCTTCCATATTTCGAAATAGTATCCTTAAAACATCATCATATACCCCTTAGTCTACCACGGATATCTTCAATCGCTCTTAGTTCTAGTTGAATTCTCCACAAGTTACTCTCAGTGTGGCTGTTCATGTTTCAACAGGTGACAGTTTCGCATTATCTGCGACCTCAATCTGTATGTCTAGATAACAAGCAAGCATACTATATACATACACACACACACACACATGCACATATATATGCATATAAATTGAACCGTTTTGTTTTATTTTTCAGATCTCATTGAAATTGGCTTGGCAAAGAGGGAATATCTGGAATACCTTAGACCTAGACTTACACACCCATCCACCATCACACACACATACACATACACGCACACACACACACACATTGAGAGAGCTGTAAAGCTACAGAAGAAGCAGCTAAAATGCCCGTCTTTCACACAAAAACCATCGAGAGCATATTAGATCCTGTTGCCCAGCAGGTAAGCGATTGTTAATGAAATGATCTATGTTAAATCGGGTTTATCCATAAGGAAATATTACCTAACCTTATAACATTGCCTAGCTATAACAAGCCAGCAAATTGGCGCCTAAAAAGGTAAATTTATGAAGAACTGAAAGTATTTTGATGCCAATTTATTAGCATTTGATATTGGAATAGTCTATAAATATGTATATGTATAGATCATAGATCATAGAATCATAGATCATAGATCATAGATCATAGATCATAGATCATAGATCATAGATCATAGATCATAGATCATAGATCATAGATCATAGATCATAGATCCATAAATCATAGATTATAGATCATAGATTATAGATCATAGTTCTCATAGCTGTCAGCTGTCATAGCTCTTTAGTTCATGTTAAGGTATATATAATAGATCTAGACTAGATTTTAGACTAGGAAATTTCAGAGTGTATTGTCATTCATTATGTTTTTAACTAGATTTTCTATTTATATTACTTATATTTGTTTCGATATGTATGGCAACGCCATAAGTAACTGCATAGGCGCATTAAGTTGGCTGCGCCACTGATGCCAAAAGCCGAATTTAATGATCAAATTTTGTGTGTAAAGCGAGTTCACTGCGGAGAATTGATGCATGAAATCTATTAAAGTGATATATACATTCATACATATCCATATGTACATATATACATACATATATATGTACATCTACTCAATTCTATATATTTCTAGTTAGTTAATTTTTGAATTTGCACACCTGAAAAGCGAACGTTTCCAGCAGCTGTGTAGCATGTGTACCTGTGCTAGATATACATATAGATACATATATATATATATGTATATGATCTATAGCTATCTATCTCACATAGGCAAAATCCAAGCGGTCTAAGCAGCAAAAACAAACTTTAAGATGCGTTCGCTTGCTCTGCTTGCTTAACAAATCTTTTGCGGGATCTATAAATAAATGAGGTAGGCAATAATAATAATAATAATAAAAGAAAGGCCACAAGAAGAAGAAGCAGCAGCAGCAGAATAATAAATATATATATACATAGATCTGCTGCTTCCACTGATATCGCAACAACCTGAGCCTCTGAGGACAAACAAAATTAATTTAATAAAACTGAAACAAAGCCAAACAGAACGAGAGAAAGAGACAGATATTGAGAAAGAGAGAGAGAGAGAGAGAGAGAGAG